TCTCTCTCTCTCTCTCTCTCTCTCTCTCTCTCTCTCTCTCTCTCTCTCTCTCTCTCTCTCTCTCTTTCTCTTTTTTAATCACTTCCATTCTCCCATTCTATAACCGTAGCTTTCCATTCCTTAATCATTTAGCCACCTATAAACAAATCACAGCTTACAAAAACAAAGATGAATTGCAAACAAACAACGACAACAAATGAAAAAATAAACAAGAATAAACTAAAAATACACATACAACAGCAACACGAATAAATGAAGAAAAAAAGAAGAGAGAGGAACAACTAGATAAATAACGAGAATAAACATAAACACACACAAAAGAATGAGCATTTCTCACATTTCAGAAAACCATTTGAAGACCATCTAGCATCACCTATAAATCCCTAGTTATAGCAACGTGGATCCTATTTGCAGCGAATACACAATGCTCCGCTATTACGAGGGAAACCTATTTACGATGAGCACAGGTGTGGCCCGTTATGGTTAATGTTCGCGGACTTAGGGGCAGGGGGGGGGAGGGTGAAGAGAGGGAGAAGGGGGATGGGGGAGGGAGGAAGCGAAAGGGTGAAGAGAGGGAGAAGGGGGAGGGAAGGAGGGAGGGAAAGGGTGAAGAGAGGGAGAATGGGGATGGGGGAGGGAAGGAGGGAAAGGATGAAGAAAGGGAGAAGGGGGATGGGGGAGGGAGGGAAAGGGTGAAGAGAGGGAGAAGGGGGAGGGAAAGGGTGAAGAGAGGGAGAAGGGGGAGGGAAAGGGTGAAGAGAGGGAGAAGGGGGATGGGGAAAGGAGGGAGGGAAAGAATGAAGAGAGGGAGAAGGGGGGGAGGGGGATAGAACGATTGAAAGAGGGAGAAGGGGGATGGGGGAGGGAAGGAGAGAAAGGGTGAAGAGAGGGAGAAGGGGGATGGGGGAAGAGGGAGGGAGGGAAAGGGTGAGGAGAGGGAGAAGGTCATGGGGGAGGGAAGGAGGGAGGGAAATGGGGAAGACAGGGGGAAGGGGACGGGGGAGGGAGAAGGGGGAGTGGGGGAAAGGGCAGCGGAGGGGGCGAAGGCAGAGAGATAAGTGGGAAGGGAGGGAGAAGGGGGGTGGACGGGGAGGACAGGGGAGGGGGTGAGAGTGGAGGGGGAGGAGAAAAGAGGAAGAGAGGAAGGGGAAAAAAGGAGAGGAAAGGATAGAGTGAAAGGGAAGGGAAAAGCTAAAGGAAATGAAGAAAAGGAATTGGTGGGAGAGGGGAGAGGAAGAAGGAAGAGAGAGGGAAAGGGGAGACAAAGAGGCGAGGGAGAGGAAGTGGGGAAAGGGAAGGAAGGTATACCGGGAAACGAGCCGAGGGTAGGAAGAGGGGGAAGGAAGAAAGGGGAAGGGAGGAGTGAAGAGGGGGCTGAAGAGGGAAGGGAAAGGAAAGGAAGAAAAGAAAGAGGAGACGGAAGAAGGAGAAGGATGTGGGGGGGAAATGGAAAATGGTGGATCTATGAATTCAATAATATTAAATCACACGAGAGATACTTCGCTCGCAAATGTTAATGAGTTTCTTTACTTATTTCCCCTGTTTCTGTTATTTCTAAGATCGAATCATCTACTAACCTATGTAAAAGAGAACTTAATCAACCTCGCACTAAAAAGCCAAAAAAGCTAAAGAAAGAGAAACGCGAGAAACTAACAACAAGTCCATATTTATCGTGAGAAAAGTTGGTATACATAGTGCACTTAACGCGAGTTCTCACCAAACACGTGCTTTACACAGGCAGCTGATGTTTCCTTCGCCTCCTCCGGAATAGTGGGAGTGCGAATAAAAAGAGGGAGAATTTGCGATGGTAGAAACAAGGAGCGGAGGGAGGTTTGTTTGGAGGATGTGTGTGTGTGGGGGGGGGTTATTTTCTGTGTGGGTATGCATTAGCATATATGCATATAAAGATACAGATACAGACACATATATAAACAAGAATACACACAGAAATAAACACACTTACACACACACAACAAACAAATAAACACATACACATACACACACACACACACACACACACACACACACACACACACACACACACACACACACACACACACACACACACACACACACACACACACACACACACACACACACAATTTAAGGGCATAGGGAGACCAAATATATTGGCATTGGCCTTTGGAGTTTCAGTGAAGTTGATAAGTATAGGTCTAGTTATCTGACAGCAGTTTTAGAGAGTTTGGAAGTGATCTGTAGTAGTTTTAATGATTTTTCAGTGAATATTGGCGGGCGCAGCATTTCCACATCATAATTTCTGCGCCGTACTTTTCCTTTTAGCAAAGAAGGAAATGGCGCTGTTATATATTTGTTTATCTATTTCTCTCTCTCTCTCTCTCTCTCTCTCTCTCTCTCTCTCTCTCTCTCTCTCTCTCTCTCTCTCTCTCTCTGTTTTTTGTCGTACACATTACCAATTATGATTTTAAGGCATATAACAAACACCGTATCTCAGCTGACTTACCAAAACAATACGTCAGGTTCAGCGGTTGGTCAGCTTGCCCTCTCTGCTGCCTTGTACCAGGCCAAGGAAATCTGCGAGAGGAAAGACGAGAACAGCGACAATTTTTTTTTTCTTCTTTCTTTAGATTCCTTGTTACTTATATATATATATATATATATATATATATATATATATATATATATATATATATATATATATATATATATATGTATATATATATATATATATATATATATATATATATATATATATATATATATAGTGTGTGTGTGTGTGTATGTGTTTGTGTAAGTATGTGTGTGTGTATACATACAATTATATATATATATATATATATATATATATATATATATATATATATATATATATATATATATATATATATATATATGTATACATATATATATATATATATATATATATATATATATATATATATATATATATATATATATATATATATATATATGTATATATATATATATATATATATATATATATATATATATATATATATATAAATATATATATATATATATATATATATATATATATATATATATATATATATATATATATATATGTATACATATATATATATATATATATATATATATATATATATATATATATATATATATATATATATATATATATATATATATATATGTATATGTATATGTATATGTATATGTATATGTATATGTATATGTATATATATATTTATATATATATATATATATATATATATATATATATATATATATATATATATATATATATATATATATATATATATATATATGAAAAGGAAAACAACAGTAAGAAATGATTACGATATATTTTAATTTTTACTGTGGCTGTTTTCCTTTTCATCTTTGTGTACACGTTACTGAGTTTGTGTCATATATATGTATATATATATATATATATATATATATATATATATATATATATATATATATATATATATATATATATATATATATATATATATATATATATATATGTATATATATATATATATATATATATATATATATATATATATATATATATATATATATATATATATATATATACACATGATATAAAACTGGCAGATTAGAAAAATATTCTCACTAAGTTGAACAGTACCAACTACTTAAAACGGGTGGATAAAGTGTGGTTGAGAGGCAACCAAACTATAAAAGAAGTTATACAAGAATGCCATTGTTTCCACACCTATTCCATATATATATATTTTTTTTTAATAAGTGACGGACGAGGTATAAGAATGTTGTGAAGAGGGATATTAAGGAGTGTAAACATAATAATCTCATATCGATATCTTTCAGAAATAAAGAGTTAACAAGAAAGGTGGAAATATAAATAAAAGTAGACAAAATATGAACCGCGATGAAATGAAAGAATGATAGACCATATGGAAATTGAAAAAGGTTTGTAGATGGTTTTGAATACTGGGAGTTGATTTCTCACAGAATATATATATATATATATATATATATATATATATATATATATATATATATATATATATATATATATATATATATGTATATATATATATATATATATATATATATATATATATATATATATATATATATATATATATATATGTATATATATATATATATATATATATATATATATATATATATATATATATATATATATATATATATATATATATATATATATGTATATTATATATGAATATATATGTACATATATATATATATGTGTGTGTGTGTGTGCGTGCGTGTGTGTGTGTGCGTGTGTGTGTGTGTGTATATATAATTAATATTAATCATATATACGAAAGTATCAACAACGCAATGAAATATAATGATTTTTATTCTGTCCTTGATGTTCTTTTACCTCTCTTTTCCGTCTTCACCTCGTTTCTCCTTTTCTTCCTCTCCCCTTCTCCCTTCTCCAGCTTTCCGTTCTCTCTCATTCCCTTCTTCGTTCCCTACTTAGCCCATTTTTCTCCTCCTCTCTTCCTCTCCTTCCTTTCTCTCTCTCCTTTCTCTCCCACATTTCGCCTAAACGCACAAACATGCGCGAAAGTTTCTTAGAACCCCAAACATTTTTGACAGAACGACCTTTTCCAGATTTATTCCCAGAACCACATGTGTTCTTTTCCGACAACAAATGACCTTTGGAAGGGGAGTGGGCCTCGCTACGCCACCCAAGCCCCCCCCCCCCTCTCTCTCTCTCTTTTACTCTCTATCTATCTATCTCTTTATCTCTATCTATCTATCTCTTTATCTTTATCTATCTATCTCTCTATCTCTATCTATCTATCTCTTTATCTCTATCTATCTATCTCTCTATCTCTATTTATCTCTCTCCCCCCTCTCTCTCTCTTTCTCTCTCACTCTCTCTCTCTCTCTCTCTCTCTCTCTCATCCCCCCGCCCACCCTCCCCATCACGACCCTCCCACACCCTCTTAGCGAACACTATTCCGCCTCCGCCCCGCCCACACACAGCCACTTCGCCACCCTTTTTTTTAACCTCGAGATCGTCCACGCTTTGAAGATGGGCGTGGGTGAAAGGGGAAGTGAGCGGGTTAAAAAAAAATGTGCGGGTTATTCGCATCATCGGCTCGATAAAGATGATAATGATAATGATAATTAGTAGTACTATGATAACAGTAATGATAATTATGTTGATGATAATACTGATGATAATAATAACAATAATATTAATTATGACTGTAGTATTATGAATAATTAGTAAGTACAATGACAACAATAGTTAGGATACATTAGTGATAATGGTAATGATAATCATATTAGGAATCATAATGATAATAATAGCAATGATAATAACGATAATGATGATACTAGCACTACTACTAATAATAATAACAAAGATAACAATGATAATGATGATAACACCAATAATAACAATAGTAGTAATCATGATAATGATAATAATAACAATAATAGTAATAATAACAACAATGATAATAACAATAATGATAATTTGATAGTAATGATAATAATGGCAATAGTGACAGTGATAATAATAATAAAATGATAATGATATTAATAATGAAAACAACAACAAAAAGTATAATAATAAAATTTAAAAACAATGATAATAATGAAAAGAACATTAAAGCAAATAATAAAGACAATGACGATAACAAGGACAGTAAGAATGATAACAATGATAACAATTAACAGTGAGAATGATAAGAATCATAGTCATGATAACGGAAAAAGAGAACATCTATCCGGCGTCCATCAAGCGCCATCAATTTCTGATCCCAACGCTTATCGGCTTTCCTGACTGATAACTAGGAAAGGACTTCTTTTTTTCATATAGCGTTTTCTCTCTTTTTTTTTCCTCTTGTCAACTTTAAATAACATCTGTTTGCTTCTCTGTCAGCCAGTCTCTCTGTCTTTCTGCCTGTCTGCTTCTCTCTCTCTCTCACTCTCTATCCCTCTTTCTTTCTCTTTTACTCATTCTCTACAGCTTGCTTTCTCTCTCTCTCTCTCTCTCTCTCTCTCTCTCTCTCTCTCTCTCTCTCTCTCTTTCTCTATCTATAATAACAATGATAATGATAATAATAATGATTATATTAATAAAGATAATAATAACAGTACTGATAACAATAACAATAACAAATAACAGTAATAATAATGATAACTATTGTGATAATAATAATCGAAACAATGGTAATGGTAACAGTATTAGTAATAATAATGATGACGATGATGATAACAACAACAGTAATAATAACAATGGTAATAATGTCAATAATGACAATAATGATAATAATGATAATACTGACAATAATGATAATGACAATAATAGTGAAATGATAGTTATGATGATCATCCTCATGATCGTAATCATTATCCTTATTGTTATTATCATTATTATTATTACTAGCATTACTATTATGATCATTACTATCATTATTATTACTATTATTATTACAAGAATTACTATTGTGATCATTATTATCATTCTCATTGTAATTGTTATCACTACCATTATTGTTATTATTATTATTATATTCATCATAATGATAATTATAATGATAATAATAATAATAACAATAATAATGATACTGATGATAATAATAATGTTGATAATAGTAATAAAAATGATATAATAAATAATAAACATAAGAACAAAACTGATGATCATGATAAAAACAACAAAAATAATAATAACAATAATAAACATAATAATAATAATTATTATTATTATTATTATTATTATCATTATTATCATTATCATCATCATTCTTATTATTACTATTATTATCCCCGGCGGCAATGGGTTAATGATAATGATAATGATAGTAATAATAACAATTATAATAATGATAATAATAATAATAATAATAATAATAATAATAATAATAATAATAATAATAATAATAACAATAATGATAAAATAGTAACAATAATAACAATAGTAATGATAAAAGGATAACAGCAATAATAATAGTAACAATGATAATGATAACATTGATAATGATAATAATGATAACATTGATAATGATAATAATGATAACAACAATAATAATGGTAATAATAACAGTAATAATACTAGTAATGAAATAACGATAATAACAATAATACCGATAATGATTAAGATGATGATATTGATGATAATAACAACAATAATGAAAATAATAATACTGATACTGATGATAATAGCAATAATAATAATAATGATAATGATAATAATTATTATTATTATCATAATTATTATTGTTATTATTATTATCATTATTATTATTGTTATTATTATCATCATTATCATTATTATTGTTATCATGATAATGATGATGATAATAATAATAATAATAATAATAATAATAACAACAATAATAATGATAATAATCATAATAATAAAAAAAGTAATAATGATACTAATAATTATGATTACAATAACAATAAAAATGATATTAAGGAGGAGGAGGAGGAGGAGAATTATCATTATTATCATCATTATTATTATTGCTATTATTATTATTATTATTATTATTATTATCATTATTGTTATTATTATTATTATTATTATTATTATTATTATC